GGTATAACAGTCAAAGCTTTGGCTAAGGATTCTTCAAAAAAGTCTCAAGTGACTTAATTGTGACAGACCACCTTTTTACAGCAAAATTTATATAACACAGACCCACACCGCAATCTGTAAAGCGATAAATGTTTATTGCGTGGTTTTGCGCATACATATGTCTGCAGCGAAACAGAAAAAACGTGCACTGAAATCCCAAGTGCATAGAACCAGCTCATTCTTACACTGTAACTACAAAACAAAAGCAGCAGAAATTCATTAATCGAACTCAATCTTCATGCAAGTAAAACATATATGTACAGCTCTGTGTGGTTTAATATATGTATACACTGTATTGTTCATAAGAGGTTGAGCGCAAGGACGAATATAACAAATGGCACGAATAAATATCTATAAATTTACGATGTAACTTGCATGCTGTACATTTGGAAAGATGATATTTTTGAGACGTATCGGCTCAGGAGAGACTCGAACCCTGGTCATCAGTGGCAACACATCGATAGATATAGCAAATGCTTGCAAAATATTTGTCTTAATTCCTCAAGGATATCATGATTTCAGTTCACCCTTAGAGGTGAAAATTTTAAGTACATGTATAGTAATAAGCGATTTTTTGCAAATTTCGTTGAAGCCTTTTAGTATCAATTTTGTGTCAAATGCGTAATGTTCCGTGCAGTTTATAGGAAGCAACGCTCACTTTGATTAATTTTTATTGTCTGAGTTTTAATATTTGTTACTTTAGCTCAGGAATTTAAGTGTAAACAAGGCATAACAATTCGTTTGCATACATGTTTACAAACCAATCAAGGTAGGTTTCTGCATTCTTTATGTCCATTCATTGTTCTTCGTTTACTGTGCAAATATACCTCGAAAAGGTTTAATGGAATGTTGTCGAACACCCACTAAACTGAAGTCGGGTTTAGTAATTGATGTTTGCCTGTATGACCATTTCAACTGTTAAACATTTTCTGCATCTGTGAACAAAATATGAGTACCCATCGTATCCTTTCCAGAACTTTTGATCATCGGTATTGAAACGGCATGGCGTTAGATAGCAGTCATTTCACAAACTGGATATTCCATTTACGGCTGTATGTCCACTTGCACAGAAACTTCATCCATTTCCGGACACTTTGTTTCGACCGCATCGATGGCACCGTGGTTGTCGACACCAGCGTCATCAGCCCGTAAATCCTCTCTCGCGCGTCGCCTTCGTTCCCACGGACAGCTGCCTTCCGTCCAGCACGCCGCCTTCTGCTGGATGTTTTCTGGTATCAACATGATGAGGAACCCAACTATGACTAACACCGACCCGCCGATTTTGAAGTTGCTGAAATCCTTGCCACGGAAAATCAAGTCGACGACTATTGGTATGAGAATAAATAACAGACATTGATAATGCTATTTTCACAGACGCAGCCTCATTGTAGGCACAAATTCTGCAACTAGGCCTCCTGTGGCAACATCCGGCAATGTTGACGAAGGCCGTGTCCTGCGGCCTGAAATTACGCACAAGCCTATGGTAGTTGCAACAGCCAGTTCCCATAGAGCAGTGCATAATTTCAAGTCACAGCCAAAGGGATTCGGACCCTGCTCATCTAGGGCGATGACGTAGTGAACTGATGACGTAATAAGTTCATATGACACCTACACTCTTAAAACAACCTAGTCAAAATGTTGACTGATTTTCCTAGTTGTTAAAGATTGACTACGGATTCAGTCAAACACCTACGCTGACGTTGGCAAATCATGCTTTCTGACAAGATTCCTACTCGATGCCTTTTGAAACATCAATGAAATAACTGAAAAAATCTAGTCTGATTGACTAATTTCCAGTTGCACCCAGCTGACCCTGAAGAGCCAGTCAAATTTTACGGAATTCTAGTCAGATTTGACTGATCCTTTTTAGAGTGTAATATTTTTCACTTTGAATTAAGATACGGAAAGCCTTCTCTTCGGTTGTTACTGTTATTCTGAGCATTTTTTCAGCATTCTACGCACCTGCATTCAGAGGAATACCAACAACGGTGCCGAGGGCGATAAACAGTGGAAACGTCAGAGCTATGCCGAAGTTAATCAGGAAGTTGAAAGCTATTGGGATAGGAAAAAGGCATCAGCAACATCAGAACGAGTATTAACAGGTTGCAAGAAGCTATGCTACCAAAAGTTAAGTCGTCTTGATGGAAACCGCTGGACTGTGCATTTTATAGCTCGTAGACTGGTCTCCATCCGTGTCTAAAATGTACACTTTAAAGCGAACTGAATTGAAAATTTACTCTGACAACTGACAAATTTAAGTTAGATTTTTTTAAGAAGGAACAGTCAAACTCACCGACGCTCAGTGCGGCACTGCCGCAGAGATAATCCCAGGGTATCTTGTCGAAGCTCCAAGTCTCCACGTCCGTGTAATAAAAGATAATAATAAAGGGCCACAGGAAGAGGATGTTAAAGATGCCCAGCACGCTGAGAAAGAGGGAGACCTGCCCAGAAGAGGCGTTGCCGACGTACCGCTTAAACAACACCTGCGAAGGTGATCAGTTGCTGGTAATTTGCACATGAAAAATAACAACTTTTACCTCTGAGGACAACACTCCCATGCTGGTTCTATCGCAAATATTAGACATTGCTTAAGTGGAAAGTTGTGACGAGATACTGTCTAAATATTTACAGATCTCCCTTGATTTTTTTTGTAATTGGCGCTTGTTGCTATTTTTCATTGGAATATGCTTTGCGGTACTGACGATCCTATACTGGACACAATCCCGGGACAGTTACAATTCGTTTAAGAAATGACTATTACCGAATAAAATACATCTGAGCCAGTGGCAAAAATCACATCCAAATAGTTTTGAATTCAAAGGCTGTGAAAAAAACCCTCGTTGCGTGATCATGGTATTGATGTTATGATGCTTTCGATGATCATCGCAAACCCGAAAGAAACGAATATACAATCTATTGTGCTCGGAGCAAATCCAGCTCAAGTAACTACTTTTCGCAAATTCAGTTTCTATCTCTGGTTGCATCGCACCTTGTAAACAGCGGAGCCGATCGCTGAGCCAATGGAGAAGCTGATTCCAAGCGCCGTTGGCCCTTCAAATCCATCGGCATACGAGATAAGGACCATGCCGCCAATGGACATCAGAACGGAAACACTCTGAAACGAGAGAGGGAAATGTCAGCCAGCCCTCGTTGTAACTGTTGCGAACCCTCAGTATTCACTTCGACCATATCCGTAACTTGAAACAGTACATGCAATTTTACCCACGTATACAGCACAAATGTGTGGCCATAGGTCAGGAAATTCTGTGCTGGTCAGGAAATCACTGTTCGTGTGCTTGATCATTGACACAGATTCATACAAACTGGCACAAGAAAGTTCATAGCGTCTTGATGGAATTAATTTATTCCTAGAAGTTTTGAAATCAAAATTCCAATGCGGAAGGAACAATACGCATTTTGTAGAATCCACTGAGGGTATATATACGTCATAAATGTCTAATGGACTGGGTTTTTTTCGACATGATATGAAACTCCTCTTTCATGGCTTTCATCACAAAGAACAATATGCATATCTAATTCCCTCAGTACATTTGATAAAGATGGGGTCAACATTACCCTAGCAGGCAGCAAAACGAGCCGTTCGTGGAGCCACAGCCACGAGAAGATGTAGATGAAGGCTGTATTGGAGGAGAAGAGAGCGGTCACATCGGCTGCGGCTATCTTACCGAGGGCATAGACGTACAGATAGTTGGTGACGGCCCAACAGGCAGCGAATGGCACTGTAAGGGTGGCGAATGTGCGCAGGCAGAGACCCCGTCTACCAAACACGGCCTCGGATTCGCTGCGGGACAAATTCACAGCGAGTATTTAAAACCCGTTTCAGCAAAAACGTAGAGCACGCATCGTTCGCCAAAACGTACAAATATCCATTTAAATCATCTTTGTAAATTTTCAAACACCCGGAAAGAGTTACATTGAGATAATGGACGGAAGTATTAAGTATCAACAGATATGTATACTGTATTAATCACTTCCCTTCATAATTGTGTCATAAATAAACCATTCCTTAGTAGTTTCTACGACCGTTGGTCCCTGGCATAGTTCCACCGCATCACATTTCCCCTTTCAGAGTGAATCTTTGTCATTCCCTTGCAAATCCACTCAGCAAAAATTGTATGTTGAGAAAAGAACACCAACAAGGTCAGGCGAAGGCACAAAGTTTATAATTAGCCCACCTGTACAGATTTTTGAAGCCCTCCACACTTCGACTCCGCGGCAGAAACACTGAAGCGCCGAGAACGTAAACTGGATAGCAGACTAGCATCCACGATGTCGAAAACCAAACATTCACCGAAGCAGAAGAGAAATCCGGGGAATACGTGCTCTGAGTAAACTGTGTCGCTCCAACCCACGACACGGCAATTCCGATCACTATGATTAAACCGAAGACGGTTTTCCGGATGTTCTCGGAAAATCTCGTCCCTCGTCCGGAAACGTCCGATTGCGGGACTCCGTCTCCAGTCGCCTCTTGAGCGTCAATTTCATCCGACGTCGCCGCCACGTCCAGGAGATTAGCCTTGGCGGTATCCTGGTCGCCCTTCGTCATTATGCCGTTTTTATTCTCAGCTGCAATCGCACAATTTTCAACAAGCGTGCATTACAAATATTGCTCTATTCGGCTGACAATATGTTTTCACTGAACCTTGACACGTTTTGTTGCCAGCATCGTGGCACTCATGGCGGTAGCCCAAGTGCAAAGAACGGTACCAGACAGAAATACAACGTGTATTTCGTACAGATAGGAAAACAATTCAGGAGCCACTTTAGTTTGGGATTAAGGCGATTAATGTACAATCGTTGGCAAGTAAATTGGTAGTCCAAAGGCTACACATCAGGCTTCAAAACAGATTCACACCGCAATTACTGTGCACATTCCCGTACAATCGTGACACGATAAGCCGACACGTCTTCAGTAAGAAGCAGCGCAGCAGTCAACGTTTGCGGTCACGACTCAACAAGAACGTGCTCGAAAGCATAGCGCGCCGTGTAAGACAAAATCTAAATTTGAATGTTTGCCCGCCTGCAACTGATGTTCACTATGTGTCAATCAGTTCATTACCTTGGCTTGAAAACGATGTTTCGATGACAGCCTTTCCATGGCTAAGGTTGTCTTTGGACTTGAACTCCGAATCTACAGTTGGCACCGATAATTCCGTCGATTTTTCGTCTTCCATCACCGTAGCGCGGTCCTGCGGTGACCTGTGCTTCTGTGAGGGGGAGAAAAAGGAAGAGACAATAAAACTATGTACTCAAAACCCTTCACTGATTAGTCAACAGTTAACTTTTGCTTAAAAATTGTAAAAACCCTCGACCTCTTGCTTGAAAGAAAGCGTTGGTGATGGTATCTCATGTTGTAGATCTTTCAAGCCAGTAAATTCAGAGCGCGACGGTCCTTGCATCTTTTAGATTTGTCAATATGAGCGTTTGTTAAGAGATAACAACCGGCTAAATAAACTTTATGAAGATAAGACTACTGTAGTTTCCATGAATAGGCAGAAAAGTCAGAAGATGATATGATGGTCAAAAGTGGTCGACGTCATTTAAACGCGTGTTTTAGTGGTGAGTTTTGTAAGATGCAGTTGCATCTATCATTTAGGTTTTAAAATTAAATAGGCCTTGAATTCCCTTAATCCAAATTCGCATATCCTTAATTTCTCTTTTAAATTAAAGAGTCGAAGAACCAGTATGACAGGGTTAGTGGGCACTATTTTAATACCTGTGAGGTGATCTGAAGCTGAACTGGACTGTGAGCGTGCAGTGCTGGAGCTCTTGGATGAAATGAGCTCCCTTTTTAAATCTCTTTTACACTTTTTGAGATGATCACTAATGACTTGGGGGTGACATGAATGTGGAAATCACTAGGGGGTCGTGTCTCCGTCGCTGATGGATCCAAGAGGCAGGGGGGCGGGGCCTTTTCCCAAAGGGTCAAAATATAAAGATATATTTTTTGACATATAATGAGATAAAGGCAATTCGGGGGATGCTTTTATTTCATTTCCTTCTCAAAGCCACAAAATGTTGTCTCACACCACTCAGAAAGGCAATGAAAGGCAGTTAAGAAATTCCCAACACTTTTTTGGCGTCCCCTACGTAAAAATTGGTTTACCCCAAAAATTAGGTTCTGGAATTGTCTTTAACCCCCGTGCCGCCCCTTCGCTCCCCATAGATTCAGCAAGAACATACAGTACATGTTTTTGTCACCAAACTTTATTAACAAAAAGGGACGTCGGAACACTGACTGTTGCCAATGACCTAAAATCTAGACTTTATGTATTACAGAAACATCTCTGTTGCGGAACTTTACTTGGGACAGTCAATGAAGAAAATACAAAGGGAACTCAGGTCAGACAATTATGAATGACAATTTCGTTAGAATTAATCAATTTACACTCTATGCGTCATTAGAACAAAATCAGTGATTCATTTAACTTCCAGAGCAGGGGTTCTTGAGGAGTTTATGCTACTTGTACGGGGAACTTAGTCTATTTTGACCGTGCCAATTTACAAAATCAGTAGTTTCACCGTGGGCTTCACGATGGTTCACCTACCTTCGTTCTGCAAACGCAAAAACACTCAACGTTTCGGTTGGCCGTGTGTAGCAGACCTGTTCACCCGGACGCCCAGGGCATTCCACTCCATGCAAACTGACACGAATGTTTGAGGTACTTTCTGTAGTCTTCGTTGAACTGCGTAACACTGCAATTCCTCCAGAGATAGCGATTAACCCATACCGTTGTTTACTCTTCTAAGAGATATAGATACTGCTTGTCATCGTAACCCGAAAAACCTAGGGCCTACTGTACATGTATGTGAGAGAGCAAAGTTTGAAAAGTTCAAAACCTACACCAAAACTGCCTACCCCGCGGCGTGTGATTTATCGCAGGCACAACCGATGGTGAGGTAGTTGAATTAAAGATGTTCCCCTGGACCCGACTTCGAATTCGAATCCAAGTTAACCGAAACCCAGCTCGGATCGAATCAGATTGGATTTAACGTGGATTCAGTGGGATTAGGATCGGCTCGATGCAGTACATCGTTGGATCGGATCGGATTGAGGATCTTTTACACGCAATCCGACAAAATCTGACTTTGCTTTCGAGTTGTTTAAATTACATATTAAAGCTCGTCTGTCGTCACTAGTATTTTCTGTTTTTAACGTAATGTGTTAGCAATAAGGTACGTGTTGAACATTTCCATTTTTCCGTATAAGGTAACACCCCGAGCTGACGTTGATTATCCCTTTTTTATCACTTCAGTAGGCCTTAAGTTGGGGGAAGGGGGCGTGGCATGGCAAAGCGTCGCCACAAGTCCAGTATTTTTATTTACACTGTAAAAACAGCATTTCGAGTTTAAACACTTTTTGCCTCAACCTTTTTAACACACAAACATGTCGTGGGTTAAACTTGTCAAAAACGTGCGTACAAAAAAGTGTTTAAACTCCGAGCATTTCTTTTTTCAGTGTAAACGTCCAAACTATTTAACCGCCCCGATCGTTGTACACGTATGATTGTACTTTCTTAACATTTTACGTGGTACAATGCATGAAGTCTGAGAAAAGGATTAAAGGTGAACCTCCAATCGGAGTATAGGTTTGTTGAAATCCCCTGTTGTCCTTGCTGTGAAATTAAACAGTCATTGACACCGCGCGATAAGAGGAAATATGCGTTAACGCATCCTCGCAGGTAAGAGCTCCATATCAATGGGACAAGCTCGAGTAGTAAACTTTTTGTGCATTCGTTGTAACTAAATTAAAATGACAAAAGCAGCCTCTGAGACACCATGGAGACGCCGGAAACGCATAAACTCTATTAGAGTACCGCTCACGAAAGGAGATAAGCAATGCGTGATTCATGTACAAAGTCCGATGCCAGCAAATGACCGGCCTCTTAGCCTATAAAACGCCACACATAGGTGAAGTCATCCGACATAAAGATTAGGGCTGGCGTGATAAATAAAGCAAACACAGCGAAACCATCAATGGGCGTCACGGAATATTTTTCTAGGTGAAGGGGTAGGAGTGGGAAAGGGGTTGTAATCAGGACTGTGTTTGCCAAACACTGAAAGCGGGCAAATGGCCACCTAAAAGAGTCGGCATTTATGTTGTTGTTTGTTTGTTTGTTTATTTATTTATTTTAAACAAAAAGTTACTTGGCTGCGGCTAGAAGAACCTATTCTAGTTGTTACAGCCAGTTCCTGTTATGTAATAGCACGATACAGCGAAGTGATTCACTCGGTCTGAGTCTTCTGCTGTTATAGACAGCGCCCTCTCCACTCCAAATACTTTCCGTTCAACTACAACACATTCGTGCTGAACAAGTTCGACTGATTTGAAATGCAATGACAGAACTACGGAAACACTGAGCTTTTCTATAGCTTAGAAGGAAATCTTGAACTGTTTCCCAAGCACTCAGTAGTGTGTCTGAGGGCCAAAAAAGAACCAAACTTTTGCTTTTAGGTGCATAAATAGGGAAGGGCAAAAACATGAAGGTTACTAGATGGCTTAGTGAGGGGGTAAATGCCTGGGGGCGTGGCTCCCATTTTCAATCTCCTCTCGGATCCGCCATTGCGTCGACATCATCAGGTCAAGTTACTGAAGTTTCCAGGATATTTTATATTGAACGATGGAGGAGGTTTGGGTAGTTATTCGTTTACAAAATGGTATGCATGCATGGGCATGTAACGATATTCACTCAAACCACGGTGATTCAAGACAAAAACGTGTGAAGTAGCCTGGATTTGACGGGCAAATATTCGGTCATTTGAAAATGCTGTTTTGCTGGGAATTTCTTTTTCTTCTCAGAACGTCCGTGGTCACATGCTTCGGAGGATGCTGCATACAATCTACATGTATGATTTATGTTTATTTTTTTCAGTTTGCTGTTTCCTCAAAATCGTCAAACTCTTTCAGAGCTCACACATTCAAGAGGACTCACATGTATTAAACATGGACGTTGAAAGCTCCTCGTGGATACATTCACCCATGGTCCACACATCCCGTTAGTTATACGCATGCTCATTGTTTGTACACCACGCTCCAGGAAAAATCAACACGGTTGTCAAAGCATCCGTCCAACGCATGGGCCTAGCCCGTTACATGAGCGTGACTCTGGTTCGGAGAAAACGACGAGCAAAACAAAATTCTGCTACTCATATTTCTTGGGTTAATTTTGTACAGATATAAGGTGACGTTAAAACTTGTACGTTAACCAACCTTCAGCTTTCCTTGTGAAGGACGTAGGAAATCAGAACATGCCAGAAAGTCTGATAAAACGCCTGACCCCGGAAACCTTTGATTTCCTGTCACTATGGTTACTGGAAACTTTATATTTCCTGGGTGCACCTGCTACTGGTGAATAAACCTATTTTCTCGAAATGGCGAAGTAACTTTACACTTCATGTTAATTTTTCTTCACATTTTAAATAGTTGTGTAACATAGTTTCAAACCAATGGCAAAGCCTTTTCGAACATAATAAAATTGACTTTTTATACACTTTGAGAGATTTTTGCTTGTCGCCGATCATTCCTTTAGGATGGGATGGGATTTCCAACTTCGCCAATAATACTGAAAACAGAAATGTATTTGAAAAAAGCTCAAGCCTAGGTAGTGAAAACTTGTGCTACAACCATCATAATCTAATCATTCCAGTCAGATGCACAAACACGCTGCCATTTTTCCACTGCCCGCACAACACATGTCCAAATATAGGAAATGGATGGATCCAACGACCCATATTTCTTGCTATCGCAAATAAACAGTGCTGTGTTTGTAAACGACACCGCCACTCCCCGCTGGTCGTCTGCGCATCTCCTGGATGCACAGCTGGACTCGGATGTCATACATAGCCTACCCCCACGAGATGGATTCTACCTGGACAGGATGGGTTCTCAGCAGGAGCATGCCAGGGCAAAAGATGAGGATGCATGTGAAGATGGGAGCTGTCGCGGACACATCGCTGGCTCATTCGAAATTTATCATTTGATTTATTTGCCCAATAAATTTTGTGTGAGCAAATGACATCTACACTCTTCCCACCGACTATATAAATTTATTTATAGGCTCCTTTGATTTGCTTACTGTGAACATGACTATTTACGTGTTAGTATAATATCTAGGTGATATGAAAGCAACATGGATCCTTAAACGTTTTAACCATTCGTCTATGTCCGCCCCCAATTAAAACTTGTAAGCAAGTCTCAGAAATCAAAATGTTCCATTTCCCGAATTCTTCAATTTCATTGAGGGAAGAAAACAAGAAAAACTTAAAATCAGTTCAGGCCCCTTCTACTTTCCATGTGCCATTCAAAAATATTTCAAAAGTACATCCTGGTATATTTCAATCTTCACAAACACTGAGTTTATCGAGAACTCAGCCTTGAAAACTGATAGTGTAAACGCATGGAAATTCCTGTAAACGAAAATTCGGGGTGTTTTGGCACTGAGATGTGTAGGGCTATTCCTCATAACAGCCAACACGTGTTTTACGGCTTAACAGATACCATTAGGGCAAATCCTGCTAAAAGTAAATCCCTACATACTTGTGTTCTGACAAGAATTGACGAAGCATTACTATGTTGTGGGGTCACGACTTTGACCTTCTTTTATCAGCTAGCTCTGCACCCAACACACTTCTATAACTCGCTGTATAGTACATGTACACGAGTCGTCATCAGGAATGCACCTCTGCATAATGAAAATTGAAATGTGCCTCACAAGTGCAGCAGTGTTGAGCTGTATGAATGCTGTTGAAGCTGAATAATAAACAACGCATGATTTATGGAATACACTCTAAGTTAAGTGAATAGCGTGCGTCTAGTACGAAAACCTGTACCTGTAACAGTGAAGCTTGTGGAACTTCATAGATTAAGCAAATTCACATAATATGCCCATGATAAACCTTCGTGAAAATGTACACATTATAACAATTGAAACCGAAGCTAAAGCACCAACAGACTGTTGTTTTCAGTCAAAATGTAACGACTTGTTTTCAGTGAAAGGATTGCTAATGCTGTGCTGGTCCAACCAACTGTGATACTCTTGCTACAAGCGAAAATGGAGAACAGTACGGAGGTGTCCTATTATCATATGTACGTCGGCTAGTTGGCCATAATTAAACTGTGAATTCAATTGTGGCTCTTTTAAGGCCTGGAATATAAATCATAAATCTCACACTGAATGTGTATGTACAAGATTTTATCTTAGACTACACTCGAGGATTATTGTTTCCTTTTGTTGGAATCAGGAAACGCTATGGCAATGCTGAGGGTATTTTGCTCCGTCATTTTGCTGCCGATGCTGATTTTAGTTGGCATTCAACCACGGCAAGTTACTTCGGATTTTCCCTCCCGGCCGGATCTGGCCACCGACGGCCTATTTACATCGCTGCTACACCTTCCCCATTCTCTTTACGGAATTTCCTTATTATTTTTTTCAGTAACACACATTTCTTCACACACCATGCTGCTTAATAAAGCTGTATATGCATGGAAAGGTACTGCTGGCTAGATATCCACTACCGCGTCGTTTGAGTTGGTGACCACAGTGTCGACTTATGAACAATTCCACAAAAGAACATCAACAATGATCGATAACCCTTATCGGCTGCACTGAGACGGCAGACGGAGGGGTAACGGGGGGCCATGCCCCTCTAAAAGTGAGCCAAAATCCCCCTCCCCTAAAGGCCTCCCCCTGAAAATATGGTTTTTGATCTGCAATGGATTGCTTCAAGGAAAAAGAGAAAACTTACAAATTATCTTGTGGTACAGCAGATAGATAAAACGTTAGTTACTGAAAGTCTGCCCTCGACAGTCCGCCTCGTGCAACGCCAGGTCGCAATTGATACCTTTTATCATCATAAACTAGAAACTCACATTTCATTAATAAATAATGAAGAGATAAATAAAAAAACCAACACTGTTAATTCATATTGAACAACCAGATAGAATGCTGAGAAAAGTTATTAACAAACAATAAACAGATGAGCGTTTGTAAGTCGTGTCACAAAACCCAGATTACAAGGAATTGTATATATGTATCGGCACTCGGTACAAGTTGGGGGGCTTAGTTAAAGTACGGTCGAGAGATTCAATCAAATATCAATAATACAATTAGTTCAATATTTATAGAATTCCTCTATAATTTTAACGCATCAATCAGAAATCAGGATGCTGTTTTTCACAGTGGCCCCAAAGCAAATTTTGAACACAGAAGCCGCACTATGAATGACCACGGAATGACTCATAATGTTATCCCCACATCGAAACGAAACCCCCCTATTATTCCACTCCAAGACATCTGTTTAAGAACTTAAAAGGTCATCAGTGGCCGGCAGGCGGGGCGCAGTCTGTGATCCCCAAACGTCCCCAAAGAACCCCCATCGACATCCGGGTGGTTGGAGTGTAGGCGCCTTAATGAAGTCGTCCAATGCCCAGGGCGCGTTCTGGGCTGCTGCAAAGGTCGCCAACCGCCCAAATCGTGAGTTCAACAGCAAAAATGTATTCCACGTGGACCGAAGGCTCAGGAAGAAGTATGCTCTTTTCAATCGTGAACGCTTCATGGGATTACACGAGACTGAAAACTCGGGCTCTTTGTAAACATGACACAATTTGAATTGTTTCGAAAGTACGTTTTCAGAAGGAAGTTGATGTTTTACTTTCAACTGATGCTTCTCGTTAATAAAGTACATAAGTAAACACCCACGAAACTCCTTTAAGTTATGAACCATACTACGAGCAATGCATAATATCCCGCATTCCTGTGGGCTCGCTGTCACCACATCTAGAAAACAACTTTATCCATAAATCAAAACCAAATCACCGTCAAGTTCCTGATCTTGGATCAAAGCCGGCAGGTACTGACCAACTACTCAATACATTTATAGGAAATATATACTCATCAGGCCATAGTTAACCCCATAAGGTTTCAACGTCTCTCTCCGTTCTTGTCTGGTTGCTCAAAATGCGCACAAGCTAACCTAAGAAGAGGAAGAATTGTCTTCCAGTCTAAGACGACTGGTATTCACATCTAATCATTCAAATAAGTTCAATTCATTCTTATTATTACCACTTGCCAATTTACATTTCCACCAGAAAAATACCCACAAGACCAGGAACTGCGGAAAACCCCGCGAGATATTCATCGCCAACCAAAAATGTCTGTAGTATACTTTCCAGTTGCAAAAGAGAAGGAAATTCAAATTCTTTATTATGCAACATGCACAAATTAAAACATGCCATTCATACCCTCGTTACTTTAATCTAATAGAAAGTTATCATTATGGCTCTGATGCCGTGTAGGGGTCACCGTACTAAATAGAACTAGCCTGGTAGTCAGTAAGCTTTCATATCTCCTTTAAATGTTACATAATTTTTCCTAAAAATGGTGCCCGACCTGAAATTCAAGACACCGAGTACCAAACGTACAGTATACGTTTTCAACACAACTCCACATACAGGCCTTCAAGTCAAGTCACGTAACTATAACTTAGGAAAATGATATCTGCTTGTGCTAATCTCAAATTTAACTTTCATTGTCTTTACTTGACTTTTACATCATTTTTAATTACTAAAAGTTTCGCGCATTGAGAACCGAAACTGATTTTAGTTTTGTTCTGAGAAAGGACGGATGTAGGACAAAGGCAGCTTCCTGGATCCTTAAAATACAACTTATAACAGCATGGTCATTCGGAATTGTAACTGTATGTTTTAACATTCACAGAGTTGTGATGAGGCCGGAATTTCGACAGTACACGTATACGTCAGTCAGGGGAAGAATACCGAAAAAATTCAAAGTCTGTGAAATGACAGGACCATGCAACCGGAATTTGTTCAAGAAAACGTGCATTCTCTCAGGCGTAATGATGGGTAAATAATTTTTTTTGCGGTAAAAACATTTCCCGTCTGGGGATGTACCGTAACTGACTCAACCCAATTTTTGTTATCACAATAGATCTCTTTCCGGTCGTTATACGTGGCTCAATGGTGAAGGTTTGGCTGTTACAGGTATCGTGTATCGAAAGCAACCCTTTGGCCTTCGTGTACTACAAAACAGGAAAAAGGAAGAGGCCACAGTGCAATCCTCATCATGGATACACTGTACATGTATAGAGGGTTTGCATGGCTGCCATCTTGCAGGCCAGAGGTTTTGTTTCACTGGGTATGCACAAAGGAGGTTTCTCTGTGGAACGAAAGAACTACCCTACAAGATGGCTACCATGCAAATCCTCTATTGTCATAGCAAATCTTTCCATACACAGAAATACAGTGATAATGTTACAGATGTCTTTTTTCAAGACGTCGCATAATAAAGCAAATGCACTCTTTTAATTACATCTGCATTTTAATTTTATTTTTGCGCGTGCTCAATATCTAAAATATCTTTATCACTTTTCAACATAACAGGACCGTAAAGACTCACTAAAAATATACCTCTTTAATTTTGATACAATGAAATACCTGCGTGAAAATGTTACAATCATAAAAAGTGTATTCTCATAAACATGTTGAGAAACAGCGTGATGATGGCTAACCATCGTAAAGGGAGTAAAAAAATTACTTCAAGTACACATGTAAAAGTGCATGAATTTGAAGGACTCAACGACATGTCACTCAAAATCACTTCCGTTTCAACAGAAATCTCTCAGGTCACTTGTCTTTGGAGAAATTCACGACGGGTATACTTTATTACAAAAGAACTGTTTGGGTTTTCGAAGTATTCAGGTTATGAAGAGTCGTTGACTTATTTACTTCCAGTATTCAAATCACCGTAACAAAAGAGCTGCCCTCGAACTGTGACACTTATACGGAAGTCAGAAGAAAGAGGGTCTTTTGAAATAGGTTGTTCATTGTTACATATACACATCAAAAATGTCCTATTACGTGATCTATAACCTTACCCACAATACCAGACATTAAATTGTATTATCTGAGAACACTGTGTTTGAACCACGCGCAAAATAAAGTTGAAGTTTCCCACGTCCGACTTTATGTGTGTACTTAAGAATGTTAGTACACAGTGGATTCCGTCCAAAACGGAAGAATCAGGTTGACTTCTTTCCGTTATTTTATGAGCCTTTCTCCGGGTTTGAATTACAACGATGGCGCGAAACGGACGCTTGTTTGGATATACCGAAGTATCAGTCTTGACCTGCATGTGCCAATTAGTTTGTGGATACCTTTAATACCACGTTAGCCAGGGCGATGAAAAAAGTGAAAGCTGTTGTAAATTTTATCAATTGGTAACATGGTTATGCATTCGAGACTTAAAACTTTTTACAAACATTAATTTATACTATGTAGCGAAATTGCATCGGTGTAAACAGTCGCGTGGGACAATTACCTATAGTCAGGACTGAAATATTTTACTTGACACGAAACATTGGTGTAGATGAAATAAAAATGAGAAAGCGTGACAACAATATTCTAAAAATACTATCAATGAAATGTACAGTACAACTAGGATTTTTAGAAAAGGTAATCTAAAATTATTAGTAAACCACACTCCAACAACATCGGTCACATTTTGACAGACTGCTACTGCAAAAATAAGTTACATTTACTGAAAATAAATATAAACTGACAATTATAAACACGAGCAACATTATATAGTAAGAGAGAAAGGGGCGGCAGGCGGTTTTTAGTAGTGCTTCTTCAGCCTTCGTTTTGACCTATTACGGGAAAATCTTTAATATTCATAGGCAAATTTTTTTTTCTTCAGAGAGTCTCGAATATCGGTCAGCCATTGTTAATATAAATATTACTGAAAATGTATTTCTTTATTGCCTCTTATGCAAGTTAAAAAAAAGTCATATACCCTCGAACTGAAAGGAAATGTATATCATTAACACATCGGACATCTATCTTCTCCCGTTAGTTTAAAAGTTGGGCTTTTAATTAAATACATGTTAATGGTTTGCGCCAAAAATTTGGCAGACACAAGTAGGCCTATAATATTACAATTTTCAATCTAGCAAAATATATATCACTGTCTTTTCCGTGATGTACGACTTTACAGTACAAATCATGCACTCATTGACTGCACTTCAAAAAGTAATGTCTGGAATGGTATATTTCAAACATAACATAAAGGTGCATAATTAATAAATTACGCTGGCAAATCGTTTGCAGTACAAATAGTTTGCGACCTAAAGCAACATAGAACTTTGCACCCCTATAACGTTTAAAAAAATGTATATGTACAGTTTTACAAGCCGAAGTCAAATGCTGAGGCAATCTTCCTATGTTCCACCGTGTATTGCGAACACTGTTCAAGTCTATTGGTTTCCCTGTAAGTATTGCATAGGATGTTCATCATGTTCTTTTCGTCCAACTTGGAGAGTGCATGTATATAGTCATGCCATCAAAAATACGTACGAGCTACAATTTACTTCGCGTACAGCAGGCACAGTTTTTTAAAAGCACAGGACAATCATTCATGGAGCTCATCCAGCCCCGAGTCCTCTGTCGAGGTGCTCTCAGCGTAAGCTAGCATTTTAGAAGTGTCCCCGTTCTCTGGCGGAGATCCCCCGCCATATTGTTGGGGTGTTGGTGCTACAATGGTAGGCACGGTGCCCATCATCCGCTGCACGAACTTCTCGTGGTCCAAATTTGTGACGTGTTCGAACATGCAAGGCTGCGATATCGTCTCCTTCTTGGGCAACGTGACTTTGGGCTCCCTGTGTTTCCTCTTCTTCTTCTTGGCGTTCTGAGACCCCTCCTCCGAGGCCAGCTCCTCAAGCCACGCGTGCACGGTGTCTAGGAGCTCGGCCGCCGCCAGGTCGTTGTCGAAACTCAGGCCGGCCAGTTTCTGTGCGTCTCCAGAGACGCACAGAGTATGGAAGTTCCTCTCCGGAGACCTATACTTGCTGTCCTGGTTCAGGCCGTCTTTCCACTGCACAAACCCGGTCCCCTTCTCGGCGATGCACAGCACGAGCCGTCGCTCGTTCTGTCTGTTCTCGAAGATTAAAGTCGGGAATCCCGTCGTGGCCAGCTCCCAGCCGCCCAGGTTGGCCATCTCCTGCAAGGTGGTGAAATAAAGATTGGCCAGAGCCGGACAGACGTACACCCGACTCTTCAGGCTGGTGAAGAACCGTTCAATCTGCCGTATATCCTGGTCGGTGCAAGTCCCCGTTGTGGCCGCCATTGCTGCCGGATTAGCAACTCCTACAACATTCATGTTCAACGTGCATTCACCGTCACCAGGCTGTAGCTTGGAATAGTTTAAAATTAGATCAGCCGGGTACGATGCATACCAGTCGTTCCACAAGCATCAATGCAAGACTCCGGGGCCGCAATATCACCTCCTGACCTTGTCTCGCAGCACGCGAGCCGTCGTCAAATATCCAAACAAAAAATCCCTTCTGGCTCAATCACTCTTTGTCAAATGACATGCATTTCATTAGTCACTAGCCTACAACTGCGGAGCCTCTCTGGTGATAGTTATAAACGGGGAAGTCGCATAACCCTGAAACCAAATTCCACTGTCTGCGATACGGCAAGCAAGGGAGGGATTCAGCACAATACACCTCCTGAATTGTATTATTCCCAGTCCGGTTTCCGCCCTTGGGAGTTCTCACTAAAAGCTTTAGCCCTACCCTTGACCTCCTCAGCCCAAAAAACAGTGCAGTTCCACAACCACACGCAAGTCGTCAACTTTGATCCACGCTGACGGGGAAATTCCTTAGGTTCGGCGGACCGTCACCACAGCTGAGTTGTTGGCAGCATCCGCTCACGGCGGGGAGGTCGATTTCTTGTACATGTACTACTGGCACCTCACCGCGCCAAACTGCTCCCAAGAGGTCGAGAAAAAGCGCCACATATGCAGTTGCTTTCCTCTGAAATAAGACTATTATTTACTGGCTGGGAAACTGGGATGTCAATACTACGACGAAAATTGAAAGGAGAGAACAAAAAAGGGTTTGAATTATTACCTAAATCTTGATGAACGACAAAAGTAGGGACTAATGTCATACACTTATAACATTATCCTTTGCTATCTACCGTAGATAGCAAATTTGAACTCCAGAGAGCGATACGTTTTACCTTTCAACATAAACTGCATCATTCAAGGCAAGCATGGAAGAATACCATTCAAGATATTCGGTTTCAGAACCGTGCAGACGAAAGGAGGGATCCAATTTGGATGAATTATTCATCACCGAAACAACAATGCAAATACCCAAGTAGTAAGAGTTCCGCGCCTGGCTGCTACGATTTTAGAGTTTCACAAAAGTTTTCCAAAGGTGACTGGGAATTGTCTTCAATGAAAACACCAGGCAAGGTGAAATTTCATGTTCTTTGGTGGCGAATACGCCGAGTCAGGAGACAGCCCTCGACCTCTTGCCCAAGCAGGTTACGACAAAATCTGAATAAATGTGATACCCAATTCAGATTTTTAGTTCAGAAAGAAGCATGGAGAGGGCGTAACATTCAACAACTTACATTGACTCTATACTTTAGAGACGACAATAAAGATAGAACACTGTTAATGACCCTATCCATTCCACATTCCATGCAACAGCGTGGGTAATAGCTCTACCCCCAGAACTGTGGGGTCCGACGTGGGAGCGGGGCGGACGTCGGACCCCACAGTTTTGGGGGTAGGTAATAGACAAGTGGCAGGACAGGAAAAGAATAACACTACTATAACATTGTAAAACATTTATTTCGGGTTGAAACTATAGGTTCATCTCTTCCTATAGTAACGTTACGAAGATAGACTTCAATCGTATCGACGATGCGATATTTTACCCTGATTCACAGCGACATTCGTGACAAGGGATGGAATCCATGGGTCATTTTGCATGACATGCATGACATCATGTCTTTCAATTTTAGGCTGTAGCGAGCCCGATTTTCTGTTCTACGAAAATTCATATTTCATGCAGGAATAATAAGTCTGAATGGCAACTTACCACTAACAGACTAACACCAGCAGCACACGTACATGCGTATCGTGTCCAGCTTACCATGTATCTTTGAAGGAAAAACGGAAAAAAGTTTATTCCTAACGCGACAATTCTCTGATGACTCACCACACGTGTTCGCTGGAGCAAGACCACGAGTCCCTCCTATGAAGAGATATGACGGCTCACTTAAGGTGGAGACGTTCGTGAAGCACGACAATTAAGGCTCCCCGGTTGGAGTTGGATGAGAAAAACACATCACACGCAGTTGCTGGCACTTGAATGTGAATTTGCTGTTCACTCGCGTTCGAGGTGTAACACATAATGTGCACTGGCAAAATGCTGGTATGGTAATTGTAGGCCTACGCGAATTCAAAGTACATGTAGTTGACACAGTAGATGCACATACAGGCACGATCCCACGATATTATTTTGCCGTGTCTAGCAGCCCATGAAATTGCGACCTTTTGTGCGGTCAGACGCCGCGAACCCGCTGACTAAACCCTGTCTGGACCGTTTGGGTGCACAAACAGACCCCACGGACTCCAGGCTGCGCTGTTTTATCTGGAATCGCTGAGGAATGCAGGATTTTTTAATGAGGTTTGTACGACCAAAATGCCCTGGCTGACACTCCTGTGCTCACAGATCGGCTTGATGGTCGACTCTCTCTGCGTGTGTCAAGCTATATGCTGTATATATACATGTACCTCCACACAACTTGTAACAGAGGCCTCGAGGAAGCGCACTGCTCTCTCTCGGTGGCGGAATATTTTTAGTCGGTTGGTAAATAGACTAGTTCCTGTACGTATGCACGCGATTGTGACTAACAGCTGGATCACCACACCTATTCATACATTTACTAAGTATTGTCGCCGTGTTGCGTTAGTGACTTTACAGCGGGTTTTACATACAATGACGACCATAAAAAACGAATTCCATTGAACTCCAATCCCCTGGTGCATTATGATGACGTATACTGGGACATTTCCAAAGGATGCTGTAATGTGGCCCCGGGGGCGCCGCTTCTATATCGCTCATATGAGCGTTCTGTAGCCCGTGCCCAACGGTTACAAAATCTGGGATGTAGGTCTTCTTTTTGAACTTGATTCCGACAAAAATCGTTATTATACGTCGGTATATCGGTACATGAATGACAACACTATGAAGGGAAATTAACCAAAAAGAGCAAAGGGTTTGAACTATTCTCAGGCAGGTATTCAGAACCGCAGTACAGTAAAAGAGCTCCATCCGGTTTTTTATTTAGTTTTTGGCAAAAACCCTATTAGTGAATCTATTTTAATCGGTACCTATATTAGGCGAAATTACACACGGTCGATGCAAAATGCTTCTGAAAATAGACAAGTAAGTTTTTAAGCTGCCCCTTTTCAATATACTGATGTTCCTATATCAGACTTACTGTATCTTTGTCAACGCCGTGTACATTATCTTGCATATTCGGTTCGCAAATCACAACTCGGGAATCAGAGAGCAACTGGGATATTCATTAGGCTTATCATTGAAAAATACGATAGCATGGTGACACGCCATCGATTCTGGCGCACATCGTTACATACACACCGTTACATTACACGGAAGTGAAGGCATTGCGAAACTAAAGTTATGTTTACACTGGCTCAAGATTTCAGGTAGCTGTGATTGAAAACCAGTTGTTGGCAGTTTGAAGAGGTCTGTTTCTGTTTTATAATTTGACAAACTCCAGTATGTGCGTTATCCCTCTCAACTCTTTTTGGCCCTTTCATCAGTCTTTATTTCGCCGAAGCTAACTTTTTGTCACAAGTTGAAAGTTGTCAGTAATTTTTTCGCCTGTCCGTGCCTGTCCTTCACCATTCACCGACCTTGTCTTCTTCCCAGATTTACTGCAGGTCGTTGAAACGTGCATTTGAAATTAATGAATCATTTAACGATCCAAAGGTCAAGTTGTCAATGGAAAATAAGATGCTACATGCATTTACACAAGATTTACAACTAAAGACCTGGATTGAAGAAAAATACCGGGAAATAATCAGATTTTCCCACCAAAAGCAAGCAACTCCCCGTAAGCAAACACAGGTGCACACCCCTGAGATTGAAATCGCACCGAAAGTTGCTGAACTTCCTCGTGGGACAAACCTTATTTGTTGCCGTCGGCCGCCCACCATTGTTTTTTTTTTCCACTGGAAGCCAACGCCACTCAACCAAAGATGGTATTATTGTGTTGTTTGCCTCGTCACGTATTCGATTTTGAACAGTAGCCAAAGGTTAAGAAGTTTATTGTCCTGACTAAACTAAGTTCAAAGAGCCATGTTAAAAGTTGGGTTTTAGTTATTCTCAGTTTTATTCGACATCTGTTAAAGATTCAAACATTAAACTTTGATTGCTGTCAGGACAGACCAGCAGGTCTTTAAAAATATTTCACGATTGGCGAGGCACTGAAGTACTGTACGTGGCAATCAGTGGCCACAATCCAGACATACATGTACGTGCCTACCCTAAGAAGGTCTACGGACATGCGTCACTGTACTAGTCTTGCTTTCCAAACTTACTAATAACAAACACCTTCATTCTAATGTATTGACGGCTGGTACGCAGTCTAATATAAACTTTGACTCCGTGTATTTTGTACACGTTGACCTTTAAATCACGTGACGAAGCCCTTTCCCTACAAAACTTGCACGTTGCAAGAATGGCTGCTCAATCACAGCAACAGAATTTCATGCGAGGAATCGTTAAACAGGTACCAGAATTGAGTTTTGACGAACGAGATGATTAAATAAGAATCTTGTTCATTGGTCACATTTTTCTTCTCTATTCTGACTTGGTTTCAAAACTGAGTAAACGACGTTGAAANGTGCGATTTGTACGCGCGCTGTACATGATGTAGTTTGTGTGTGTACAGCACGTTGGGCTACGTGTACGTGTACATATACACACCACCCAGGTTTTCCATATGTTTGTACAAGTACAAGATATACGCAAGCGGGGATGGGTGGAAGAGGGGTAATGTCGGGCCATATTGTACAATGTTCGAAGTTGAAGATGGTCGACGTGCCATTTTGCCATCCCCAGTGAGTGAGAGGCATAATTAGATAATCAATTTTAAGTGGTTACCGGTTTACCTTCACACGAAAAAGGCATGGGAAATTATGTTTTGAAAAGAAATCAAAGGAATAATCAAGAACACAATGATTCCATGATGCTACATGTACTTTTTAAAAGAGAAACAGAACAAGGAAAATCAAGGCAAGGTGAGACCTCCTCCATGGTGAGACATGATGAGTACAAATGGTGTTACGGGATGTTGAAAAATACTGAAGTTATTGACCAAAAAATGGTTGACATTTTTAGTAATTTTAGACTATTCCACTGGTTTTCTGCATAGTGAAAGATGATGAAAGAAGATTCAAAAACTAATACTCAAAGAGAGATGATACCTGAGCAACACAGCTGTGAATCCGTTGAAACACAGTAGACCACAGTTTGAGGAATTTTGGGTTGTTACTGAATTGAAGCATAGAGAAAGGACACAGAAGGAGTTGCAACTTGGGCACTGCAAAATGTTCAGTGATGGTCGCCGCCAAGTCAGACGAATACTAGAAAACATTCCAAAAATGCCCGATTACTGCCTGCATCTTAGCTGGACAAGCAGGGCCAGTAATGTCCTAGCAAATCTTATAGTTTTTTTGCTTGCAATTAAATACAAATAATTGCTGTGACCAGGAAATAGAGAGAAATCCCTGATATTAGACCTGCTTTTGCCATCGTAAACAAACTTTTTAAATTTTGATAAACTGTTCAATTATCCGAGCAAAGTTTGTACTTTTATTCTCGTCTCACCAATACATCAGTGTTCATCAGTTTTTCTCATCCACCTCCAACCGGGGAGCCTTAATTGTCGTGCTTCACGTACGTATCCACAATAAGTGAGCCATCAAAAGAAAGAGCTCATTAAGGGCAAAGACTGCACGTATAGATTTAGGGCACACAGTGTAATGCAAGCAACTGTGCAAGCATTAAATTTGATGTTGTCACGAGATCATACCAAGCACCAACAAAGGCATGAATATTCAATTTCCTATACCTCAGTACACAAAGTTTTAAGGATGTAGATTACCAGGGACAAATTGTGGTGGCGATCATAGGGTACAAAGGGGTTTCGTGGTTGTTGAACAGATGGTGTGTGGCAATCATTTGTTGCGCTCTGGCTGTGGACATACCAGGCATGCCAGAAAGCGGTAATTGGCCAGATGTTAGAGCCCAGGCAGTTCAAACTCCTTCTGTGTCCTTCCTCTATGTTTGAAGCATCCAAAATGGAATTGGTTGAATTCACAAATCAATGGATCTCACTTGGTAGGTTCAGTCTGGCGATGCTGTCATCATCCGAGGCCAGCCCAAAGGTGGACCTCCGCCGGAAAAGCAGATATGTCTGTCCAACGTCACCGCCCCCAAGTTGGCTAAAAAAGCCAACCCCAACATTGCCACCTCTGTAGAAACTAAAGATGAGGTAATTTGCTTTTAGATGATATATTTTTGGAATAATAGCTGAGACCTAAGAAAGTGTGGAGGTCGTAAATGTAAGGCTGAATGGCTTATTAGGTGAAACATTGACATGATGTAATTGTTGGTTGTAAAAATCTCCATTTTGTTGGACAAAATTCAAATTGAATCAAACGAACCTTACAATTTCCTTGAATGGTTTGTCGGATACTTAAGAAGCTTAAAGAAAAGATGCAGCAAAGATCAGTTTGCACAGGCCTGACAAAATATTAGAGCTTTTTTTTGTGTGTGTGTGTAGCCTTATGCATGGGAGGCCCGTGAATACTTGCGGAAAAAACTCATCGGCAAGGAGGTGCATTTCACTGTGGAGTATAGTGTACCGGGGAGTGGACGCGCTTATGGATGCATATACCTGCCCACAGGAAAAGGTGAGAGACAAAGTTAGATGACGAGCCTTTCAATCTCACCAGGTGCAAGGCTCTGCAAATTGGATACTGATGTTTTGAGAAAGGAACCCAAGTTTTTTAGTTGCTCTTTTGGGTTTTGTTGTTGTCGGTCACACTGTATCAATGGATGTCGCTAGAATTTTAGCTTTGTGCTAGTGGAATAACGTATAGTTCTAAGGGTGAGGAAAATCGTGTTGTGAAGACAAAGTGAAATCTCACAAGGTAAAGCAAAATGAAATTGTATGATTAAAATGTCAAGAAGGCGGGTCTTGAGCAAATTTTGGTTGAGCGGAACTTATGTTTGTTCTCCGTGACTCTACATTTCCTCCTCATGTCTTTCAAATCTTCCCTCCCACCGCAGACCAAACTCCTGAGAATGTAACAGAGTCCATCGTTGCGGAGGGTTTAGTGGAAGTCAGGCGAGGCGGCATCAAACCAAGCGAGTGAGTTGAACCCATCGTAATCAATTTCAGTCTGCCAATTTGCAAGGGGGAGGGTTCAGTTCTCACAGTCTGCCAGCAGTCGGGCGTACACAATTCATGTCATGTTCCCCCTCTGCCCTGCCATCTTGCAGTGATCAGAATAAACTCATCCTACTGGAGGACACGGCCAAGGCAGCCAAGAAGGGCAAGTGGGCTGGCACTGCCTCCGGTGCTGGGGTACGGGACGTCCACTGGGCCATCGAGAACCCACGGAACTTTGTGGACAGCCTCCACGGAAAAGAGCAAGATGGTGAGACAATTGTATCAGATTTTTTTTTAGTACCCCCAGCGCAGGAAACACTTTTTAAAGTATCCTTTGTATGGCTTGTTCTGTGGACAGGGATTTCGACAATGTGTTTATTTTTTCCCAGATTTTGGAAAGTAAAGATAGTACTTAAATTATTTAAAATTCAGTCTTCTTTTTAGTTAAGTTGAGCCAAGATTTCCATTGATGTGTAACACAGTAACACTGCTTACTCGTATTTTTTGAAGCAGGTTAAATGATTCAATTTGGAATATCTTTCTTACATGACAACCCCCCACTTATATTTTAATCTTTGGTATGAATCAATTGTGATGAAAAAAGTTGCAGTGATGGCTTTTTTATGACAGTTTCAGATGAGAGTTGTCCCTTTCATGTTGTGCATCAATTTTCTTTGCCCTTTCAGCTGTTATTGAACATGTGCGTGATGGCTGCACCGTCCGCGCGTTCCTGATCCCATCATTCCACCATGTCACAGTCATGCTGTCGGGAATAAAGGTGCGCACACTGATTACAAATAGAAAAGGTCTGGTTAGGAGACTATTAAAGCAAACTGAACAGGGCTAGGAGAGGAGTACTTGGAGATGATAAAATGCTGGATGTATTTTAGTAAAAGGAGGGCTACATCACACAGAGAGTTTTGGTTTGTGTAATTTTAGGCTTGCAATATGCTTAATGTGATACCTTCATTGGTTAAGGTCTGATTTGTGCTCGTCTCTAGCCTAGTAGCCGGTCAGGCTGTAGTTGGGACCATTCAAGACATTGTTCTCAATCCTAGGTGTCTAGTGATATATTTGTGAATTCCCGTTTTAAGATCCAAACCTCCCTCTCAAAGGCCAACCTCTAACACTTAGTATCCTTCTTTCCTAAAAAATAATTGGCTCTCCAACTTACCCTAACATTGTGATTTGAAGAAATACTGACGCGCAGTTGTCTCGTGGGCTGTTTTCTCCTTACAGTGCCCCATGTTTCGCAGGGATGGCGACTCCGAAGTTGCTGAACCTTTTGCCATGGAGGCCAAGTACTTCACCGAGTCTCGTCTCCTTCAGCGTGATGTCAAGATTATCCTGGAAGGTGTATCCAATCAGAACTTTCTCGGTTCCATCATTCACCCGGTAGGTACCCGACCTTTGACTGTCATCCATCACAGCCCTCGTGGTAGCGCACTGTTCTCTGCTTATCGATTCTTCAAACTGCGAAGTCAAAAATGAAACTCTAACAGTTCTTTAACCCTAACCCCCTAGGCTCCTGCACTAGAGAGCACATTGAACCTCACAAAATCCAACTGGTGCATGTACTTGTCTATGGACTTGTACATGCAGGTCACCGTACCAAATCTGATAAACTCCAACAGAATGAGCCCGTTGGAGTTTGAGTGATATGGTGTGGATGGGTCTATGTAGTATAGGATGACTTGCACTGAACTGACAAAATCAAGCATAGTCCAAATGTTGGTACAGCAAGCCAGACACTGCACATGATGAACCCTGTGTGTCCCAACTCATACAAAACCCAACACCATCTCCCTGGGCCTTTCATCCCAAGTCTCACAAAATTCAACAAGAAGTTCCTCAGGTACGGAACCAAACCTGCCGAAACCTCACAAAACCTGCTGTTGGAGCATGGCGGGTTTGGTGTATTTAGGGTTAAGTCTGTTGTTTGTTCAAACAAAATTGTCCTTGTAAAGTTATCTGACGCCTTCTGTTGAAGTGAATCCGCAGTACTTCTTTTGTTAAACAGAAAGGGAACATTGCTGAATTTCTTCTGGCTGAAGGTCTTGCTCGCTGCGTTGATTGGAGCATTGCCACTGTCACACACGGAGCTGAAAATCTGCGGGCTGCCGAAAAGTAAGAATTGCAGATTGCCAAATTTGATCCAAAGTGTGCCCAGTATTGTTGCTGTAACTTACAGCTTTAGTGCACAGTGTTATAAACTGCAATTAACGTAGAGCATCTTGTGCATAAATCCAAGTGACTAACCCATGCACTACAACAGTAAGTCGCAGCTCAAAGCTGCTCATCAGTGACTGCTAGAAATATGTTTTCTGACGTGCATCTCTTTGTTTAAACCTCAGGAAAGCCAAGGAGAAACAGTCGCGCATCTGGAAAGATTACAAATCCAAGGCTGTGCCTCTGAATATAGAGGAGAAAACCTACACAGGGAAGGTAAGAGTAAGGTTAGACACAGGAAATACTCATCTGGTCCTCGTGACGTTAGATCTATCATTTGGGGAAATGTAGAACTCTGTGAAATGGCTTTTGACACTCCTAGTAATTCTTTAACATTGACAGCTGATTTTTAGCATCAAAGTAATTGTGCTTCCCTAGACCCAGTCTTGTCCCTTCTAGTTTTAAAGAGCACCTCTCAGGAAAACATGTTGACTCTGATTTTGTCTGTTCAAATAAACTTGGAAGCATCCAAATTGAATGCAGTGTCATTTGTCTTTAGAGCTCAACTACAACAACATGCTAAACGATGCTCAAGGGTTTATCCACTACAAACACTGGGCGAGAGTTCCCCTCGTTTTCTCTGTTTTCTCGGAATTATGCAATCTACATTCAGAATTCGCATCTTGGCATGAACAGAAAAAAAAACCCTTTTAAGCTTGTCACAGTTGAGCTCTGAAGACAAATGACACTGCGTTTGATTTGGATGCTTCCAAGATTATTTGAACGGACCAAATCAGAGTTGACATGTTTTCCTTAGAGGTTCTCTTGAAGCTTAGCATATTGTTCTTTGCTGTTGTTGGCTAAATTCCACTTTATTTTGTGTGCAGTGATCGCCAATGCAGATGATATTGTGCATGTTTCTATTACTTTATTGGTAATTCCATCACAGTGAAATAGAATTGTTTCTGTGGTTCCTTTCCTGTTTGTGGCATTTTTTGTTTCTGATCCTTCTTGTGCCCCTCTATTTCCATTCAAACCAGGTAGTGGAGGTTGTCAATGCCGATGCTCTACTCCTGAAGACTGCCTCTGGGGAGTACCGCAAGGTAACGCTGTCCAGCATCCGCCCGCCTCGCCTGACACAGCCAGCCAAAGACAGCAAGGAGAACGGCAAAGACGAGGAGCCATCCAAGGTGAGACAGACTCAACGACTGGCTTGAACTGGGTTGCGCCAGCCCGTTACCTCGCTCAGGATTCTGACGTGTGATCCGGCAGTTCTCAAGACTTGAGACCCTCTTCTGATTTGTTGTCTACGCAGGATGAAAATTGACATGGTTGATGTGAACTTTTGAAACGAGAGAGACTCTTAAACTGAGCCCTGTACTAGTCAATATGATCATTAGTGATAGCATTTCTGGTAACGAAACCAAGAATTCTTCAAAAGTGCCCTAGGGACTGTAAAGGGTGGATCTAGAACCACATTTTCAGGGGCCAAATAGTTTCTCTTTTTGAGGGGCCCCAAAATTTGTGGAAATTTTTTAATGTAACGTTTTATTGCCTGTCTTAGGGTCGAGGCAGCGTTTGGATGCTTTTTATGCGCTTTTGAATTGAAGGAAAAGAAAATACACAAAAATTCACCTTTCTCTCATTTAAAAAAAAAAATTGTTGCTCCTTTTCATTGGGAGGAGGTACCATAGCCCCCTGTTTGCCTCCTCCAGATCTGCCCTTTGGCATTGCCACTCAAAGGCCTGAAAAAACCTGTAGAGAGGAGGTGTTGTAGAAGTAGTTACAGTTTTAGATATAAAAGGAAAACCCCACAGGAGTATTGTTGGTAAAACCGGTGGAATCAGGTCGGGAATCGAACGTGAGCCGCAGAGGTGAATATTGAAGAAAGTACCACTATGACAACCTGACCCCCCAGCTTAAACACTCTTTAACATGGACCGTACCATTGACATTTACTGCAGCCTGAGAGACGTATCCGCCCTCTCTACGACGTGCCCTACATGTTCGAGGCCCGAGAGTTTCTGCGCAAGAAGCTGATTGGCAAAAAAGTCAACGTCTCGGTAGACTACATCAAGCCTGCCAACGACGGCTACCCGGAGAAAACCTGCGTGACAGTCACCATCGGCGGAATGTAAGTTAGAGTTGAACGTACGGGTAGTCCTCAACCCTCCAAGGCACCCTGGCTGGAAACCCTTCCAAATTCCGTCACCTTCAGCAGTTGCCCGAGTAAGGAACCTGCCCAGCATACCACTATCCAATGGGTCAATTATTCAAAAGGTCAAACTACCTCAGAATCCATTCTCTTGCTGTTGATAGCCCAGTAGAGTTCACGCCCATTGCAGTTCAAGGTCATTCTCTTTAAAATGGGCCTGATGTTACACATGTCAGAGACAGTTTTTTTTTTAATAAAATGAAATATTTTTCAAATGTAATTGAAAGTATATTTTATTATTATACAAGGTGTTTCCAGTAGTTGTATATTTAACAGTCTGTTCACTTAAATTATTCAAAAACATTGAAAGCCTTTTGGAAAACAAAATGAATTCCAAAAAAAATTGAATATGATAGGATTTGGAACAGTTGTCTGTCACATGTGTGACAGGTTAATTTACCTTTTCTGCATCTAGCAGTGGGTTAAAACTATTTCCATTTGTCTCAACACCATGAAGATTTTTCTCTTGAATAAAAAATACAGTGAAATTTAATGTGAACCAATCGGTTGTTTGAACGTGTCACGACAGAAACGTAGCAGAAGCGCTCGTCAGTAAGGGGCTTTGCAGTGTGATCCGGTACCGTCAGGATGATGATCAAAGGTCGGCGCACTATGACGCCTTACTGACAGCCGAGACGAGAGCCATCAAGAACAGCAAAGGAATACACAGCAAGAAGGAGTACCCCATCCACCGCATCGCTGACCTCTCTGGGGTAAGCTCAGACCCTCCGGGGACTAGATTCTCAGATCACGTCAGTAGCGTAACTAAGGCAGAGCACGGGGGGTAGGCTAGGACACAGGCTCCCCACTGCACCCAGCTGAAAATTTAGAGAAGAAAAAGAGCTGGTGACTGTCCACCTTGGTTAGTGTTTCAACTGTGACCAAAACCCATAGAATTCCTCCCCAGAAAATTAGGGCCTCTCCAAATGCCTCCCTGCAAAATGTGCCTCAGTCGTGTCACATTGCATTTTTTTGTTATTACCGTTGTGCATCAGTGCATTTTTGACTCCATGACGTGCTGTGTGATTGCTGATTGAGGTTGGCTTGGTCTGGTAGGCACTATGAGTGCCTGGCCATGGCACACGTCAGCGCTGCAGATTAATTAAAAGAGACGCCTTTACTGCAGTGGCATTGTATATGTTGTTAATCTTGAAGTGTGCATTAATTTAATAGGCAAACCATCATTTTAATATCTTGTTGGTGGAAGAGGCATGTAACGGGCGTTTACCACCTGTGAGCCAGTTTTGTGCCGTTGCAGTAACGGATTCTATTTCTACTTAAGGAATTTGTCAAAACTGATCCTTGTAACCTTCCGTACCCGTAAAATCCCTCAATATGAGACAGGTTCTGGCATTGGAGGGGAATGCAAGTGAGTGTGTACTATTAAATAAAACCTACACGATGGAATGAAGGCTACGAATTATTTTACTTGTACCATCGGTGGGATTCGAACAGGGGCCACTAAACGTCCAGGGTGGGGGAAAAGTACAGTGCTTAAGCCTAACATTTCTATGACATGCTTTCCCAGTGTGATGAAAAATTAATAATAATGAGGTGGCCTCTCTGTTGATCTGTGTCATTTATCACTAATATTTGAAGTTCTTACCTTCACCACATTGTATTCTTAGGAGATGGAATGACACCAGCCAGATTTCGACTCAGCGGATTTTAAATGGAGTTTAGTGTTTGGTGTGTTCAGTCAAAAAATGATTGTGTCTGCCATGTCTTTACTGCAGGAGGCCCAGAAGGCAAAACAGTTCCTTCCATTCCTGCAGCGTGCTGGTCGGAGCAATGCCATCGTTGAA